GATATAATGGGTGAGAAAATAAGAATAGGCTCACCTGAGGAGGGGCACCCAAGGGGATTGTAGACCAGCAGGGACCAGAGGAAAAGAAAACTCCAGTTCAAGCAGCCAAGAAGTCTCGAAGTACAGAGGACTCTCTGTATATATTCCAAGAGAGCCAGGTCTCGCAATTGTGTTCTTGAGTGCCCAATTCCTGTGCCAGGAGTGACTCCATACATTCAATATGATCCATCTCCTCCACCCACTATAATAGGGTCGGCAATAAGGTAGGGTGTCCAAGAGCAATATTCCCCGGGTCTCGGCAGGAGCGCGATCAGCAAGCTGCTTCTTCCTCCATGTACAGGCCACACCCCTCCTCTAGCTATTATTTAATTGAAAACTGCAGAGTACAAAAATTTTGAAAACTACCTTTAAAATTTACAGTAACATGTTAAAGCCTACATACAATTTTAGTGATTGGGTTTACATATAGTTTAAATCGTATTAAACCCATAACCAAAAATGTAATACATTGCAGCTTGCCAGTCATTAGATGTGGTGGCAGCATTGGTTTTCTTCTTTTTCTTTTGGCTTTTTCTCTTTTTCCACCTGGTGATCTGGCCAATAACACACCTTCTGTATTAGTGAGACACCACTCTGGAGTAATGAGCACAGGACACAACAGACTACAGCATTGTTAGTCTTGGAAGGGGGGAAGTGTTAAATGTATTAGCAGATTTGATTGCAATAACAAATTGAAGCCAAACTCCAGCTCTCACTATTCACTTATAGCAAACAGTTTTTTTTCCTTTTGGGATAAAGGTTCTGCATTAATAAGTAAAAACTGATCATTGTAAGCACCCCTGCCAGTGGTAAATGTATGGTCTCATCCATGTAAACTGATACATTCTGCTGGAGAGATTTCACTTCTGGAAAACTGCAGACTTACTGGCTGACCCACCAGATGAAAATAGAAGAAAGAAAGCCTAGAAAAGGAAACTAATGCAGCCATCACATCTAAGAATCTGTATGCTGCAATGTATTGTTTGCTTTTGGGTTTAATACTGCTTTAGGAATCCATTAGGGAGCAAGTTACATTGTGAGCTGCCCCAAGCAGATTGGCTGTGGTTCCTCTGTAACATGTCGATGGTACTCACATTCATTTATATATATATATATATATATATATATATATATATATATAATGTGTGTATGTGTATATATGTATGTGTATATATGTATGTGTGTGTATATATATAAATATTACACACAACAGAATGTTTTAAGTTCCATATAATATACTTAACAGATGAGAAGTGAAAGTCTGAACCCTTGTTATAAGAAACTAGATCCGGTATGAAGGTCTGAACACCACAAATGTACAAACAGTTCTATGAATTATGATAAATGGTGGACTCATTCTGTGGCCATTCTCCTCCGCTTGTCCTTAGTAACCTGTCATTTTGGGGGAGCTCTGGTTTCCATGGCTGGCAGAGGTAGCACAGACTTTGCTTTTGTAATGTCTGAAGTTTAGACATGTTGATATATAACACAGTTCCTCTGGAGCTGGTCTCAGGACTCAGATGGTGGAAGTGATCCAACAGGTCAGTATCATTCAATTAGTTCGCCATACAAGTCCATGAAAACCCGGGAATAAATGTTCACTGTGCGCACAGGAAGCGGGTTGATTTATACTACTGGTTTAATAATTCTAGAAATATTCATCAAATTGAAAACTAAGATTATTTGTGTGACTCAGCTGAGTGTACTGAAGTCTAATCTTGCGAGAAGTCCTGGAGAAACTTCACACTGGAAGTCGTAAGTCAGTTTTGCAAATGGACTACATTAGCCTGCTTTGGCTGTGTCATCTCCAGCTAAACAACTACAGAATTAAAGCACATATATAGGATTGTTTACCTGTGGAAAGTAATGAACATGCAATGGTGAACCATTTGCGCTTGCTGTTTAGGCCTGCATCTATGCAGTGATTGTGACACTACAATATATAGCTGCCCTTTGGACTACGATACAAACCTGGTGATGCTTCTTCTGAGCTATTTCGTGAACCTCCTCCTCCTGCTCAGAGAGGGACCTTCTAGATAAAAGCTGATTTTAATTTTCACTCTATAGTAAACCTTACCTGGCCTAAAAAGTTTTCAAGGTAACAGTGATACTGAAGATGTCTGCAAGTATCTGTGTTGGAATTTAATATATAATGTGTGTGTGATAGAAGTGAAAGTTGGTTCTGACAGAGCTACTGTAAAATTATTTTTCCTTCTGTAGCACCCTCCTCAGTAGATATATTGATAGATGGAATTAGTTGTGTTTGATAGGTAAATTTAGTTGTCACTCTGTAGTCTATGGAGTGGCTGTATATACAGTATTTGTTAGGTAAAAGTATAGTTAGCTCACTGTACTTGGTGAGCTGTGATCATTTAGTGAGGTCTGCTCTGTGTGCTCAGCTTCTGCTAGTCTGCCTAGCTTCCTCTGTATCCAGGAAACTTTAGAAGTTTCTGGATGATAGGTGTGGAGTTACGCAGATGGCAGCCTAAATATATACAGCCTCAGCCTATCCTAGAAAGAGGGCCTCTAAGGCATGCTGGGTAACTGTATATATTCAGTGAGCACACGGTGCTCTGGATTCTTCAGCCTGGGAGAGGGCACCTTGCCCTCCTATGCATCTACTTCCATGTGGCCTCAAGTGGGTGACCTGATGGCCTGAATGCTGAGACTCTGGTTCCACTATGCTGACTGAGGGGTTGTCTGCTGAATATCTGGTCATGGAAGAAGGCGTCCAGTTGCTGTTGGGCCTTGTGAGTACAGACATCCCTAAAGAATCTTAGAGGCTGTTTAACCCCCTCTGGTGCTAGGAAGTCAGCTGCAGGTCTAGCAAAGGGAATATAGGCTAGTGTTCTGAAGAGCTTTGTCCACCTGGCCTACTTTTAAAGGGACACTGCACTGGGGCTCTAAAGAAGTTTTCAGCTACTACTACTACTTTTTTTTTTTTTTTTTTTTTTTTACTACGGCCTTAAAGCTGAAGTCCACTGTTTGATTCAAGCACGGACACCGACATAGCTTGCCCTGCAGATTAGATAAAGTCCTCAAGTGTACAGAATTCCTATTTTTGGCGTATCCTGCTCATCTCGCAAAAAAAAACACCCCTAGACTGGTGATTGGAGAAACGTGAATGAGCCTATGTGCCTGACAAAGTAACCAGGGAGGCCCTGGACAGTATTCCTGTGGCTCCTACGGGAGTAGCGCTACACGTCAAAGAAACTGTGGTTGAAATATAATATAGATGGATCCTGTTCTGGTCCTAGGCTGCTACCTCTCTGATAGCAACAAAGGAAGTTCTTGCCAGGTGGTAAATTCTTTGATGTGTACTAATGAGTGCCAGGTACAAAGGTTCATCTCACTTAGAAGACTTTTTGAAACATTTAATAGTTAAAAGCATATAATACGTTTTGGTGGAAAAGCATCCCCCAAAACGTCCATGTCAATAAAATGGTAGTCAACACAAAAACATCAGACATTCAAGATCATTCAGATATTGTATTTATATAATTACTGAATTATCTTGAAAGTCAAATTATTTGGATTGACTACCATTTTGCTGACATTGCCATTTTGAGTTTATGGATTTACTGTATATTACTATATTAGTATGTTTTACTTTTTATTGTGTTTTTTTTTTTTTTTAATCTTTTTTACATTAACCATAGGGAAGAGGGAGGATTTCTCCCAAACTCGTCTGCATTTGATGCTTTCAACCATTAAAGTGTTACTAAATCCAGGACCCTGCATTCACTATATCTGGTATCCCACAGTACACAGAACATGGAAATGCAATTATTTTAGTAAACATAAACTGCTAAATAACTTTTCTCATCAGTAGTATATGGCAGTCTTGTGACTTCTGTCAGTGTCTGGATAAAGCTTATAGGTGGAATTTTCATTCTCTTCTGACTGTCCTATGAGGCTGCAGGACCCCCGGCCATCTGTCTGGACAGTTCTGATTGGCCCTGTGCTGATCACATGCACCCTCCCAATAAAAAAAAAAAAACTCACTAGCAATACACACCAAATTGAGCATGTGCAGAGTGAGTCCAAAGGCTCTGTCTTATCAGGAGATGGATTGGGGACAGTGGAAGAAGGGGAGGATCAGAGAAAACCGTATCAAACAGTCTATTTACACAATGTGCAGGATTGATTTCTTAAGTCCCACAGTAAGTATAACAAGCATGCTTTACTGCATATACAGACTGATTTTACTGTTGTGGGTTTAGTAACACTTTTTAAATGTTTCAAAAAGTTCCCTCCTGAAGATTCCTGGGATGTATGACATCATTTTCCTAGGCATGGAAACCAGGAAGCAACTAAAGAATGTAAAAAAACTTTTTAAATCAAGTAAATACAATATACCTTCCTATCTATCTACTAGTGCTAGCAGCATTAGGATTCAAAATAGTCCATGTTGATTGAAAGAGTGAATTTCCAATTTAAGTGTACAGCTTTCCTTATAGAAATGGATGGGACCACAGTGCAAATGCCCAGACTGAAGAGGACCCAGCGAGGACCTTTTCAAAAGCAAGGCCGTGGGGCTCCCAGTGGGGCCGCATAGTTGGAGATTGCTGGATGGATTCTGAAATTTCACTGACTTGGGAAGACGTCCTATACACATATACAGCCTATTTTAGGGCAGCTCAGTTTCATTTTTCACAAACTTGTATCCCAACAGCTGTATATACACCTGCTGAACATTTTAGATGTTTTTATGTTAGAAATAATTCTGTGTACTGCATCCTTGTTGTAGTTTCCAGTAAAAATTTGTGGTACTTTAAGTTGAATGGTAACATGTTAAACATGCATAGAAGACCTCACACCTAAACAACCGGATGGGGACTGGGCCTTTATAAAGTCTCAGGTTGGTTCAGTTGGAGATCTGGTAGAGAGCACCAGGTTGAGAAGAGGTTAGATTTTCTCCCAAATTACCGGTCACTGTAAGTGATTTGTCTTCTTTGTAGATGATGACACCGATATCACATTCATGGACAACGAGGGTGATTTCGGCACAAGAGACACTCTGAGCATCGCTTCACCAGACTCTTTCTCCTCAGCCATGGAGGTAAACATTGTTTGTTTTTTCCTTTATACCAGGCGTCTACAGCTTACTGTCCTTGAGACTTGGTGGGAAGGGGGTGCAGACTGTGGCCAGTGGGAGTAGAAAACCCTTTGGCAGCAGTGGGAATACACAATGACTCAATCTTGATGATTAATGGGGGAAAACAAATGATATAGTGCCTGTGGTCAATAGGAGGAGGGATAGGGCCCCATTACCAGTATCATTGGGCAGCAACCCATCATTGGTACCAGGGAGAGTAGTAGTTCCATTTTTGTTGACATTTTTCCCACTGGAGAAAATTGGACCAAACTTCATAGAGGTTTGTTTTTGCTTTCCTCTGGATCAACAGTGGGTATAGGGTTGTGTATATGGAGGTTTTCTATGTATTTTTTTTTCTATTGGTTGAACTTGTGTCTTTTTTGCAACCTGAACATGTAACTACGTATTGTTGATGTCAAAAAGTGGGAAGAACAGTTCCCATTGTCGGTTGCAGTGTGAGGAAGTGCCCCGCAGACCAGGAAAGGCAAGGAAAGATAACATCCAGCCCACAAGCCTCCGTTTGGAGACCACTGCTTTATACATTGCACTTGCAGTTATATTATTGTTGCTTGTATTATCCTTTACATTGCACAGCTCCGTAATACCATACATGAAAAGGTAAAAATGACAGATTTCAGAGAACAAAATGCAAAACATGACTCAAGAAGGGCCTAGATCTTGTCTCGGGTGATTTGCCTACCACCACAGTGCTCCACCTCCAGTTACAAAGTGTTTATTAAACCACTTGGCTCAGTAAAAACTTTGGACCCGATGTTCCCAGTGCACTGGGCAAGAGTGAGCCAGTGATCCATATACTGCCAGGAAGGGCATTGAGTGAATGAGTCTTAGCAGTGAATATGTTTTGACATTCAATACTTAAAATGGTTGTAAAGACAGGACATTGTTTACCTGACCACAGGCAGTGCATTAAAGTACACAATGTCTCCGTAGTTGTATTGCCCCCTTGCCCTCCCTTACGCTCACCTGAGTTCTGTTTTGATCCTCCACTTTGCCTGTCTGCAGAGATGCTCTCCTCTCAGCACATGGAGACAGCAGTGGTATCCTTCTGCTCCTACTGCTGTCAATTAAATTCTATGAGGAGGGAGCAGGTGGTGGGTCTGAGCCATGTTGTGTGTGTCTGTGAATGCACACATCCTGGCTCAGGAGCAAGCCCACAGGTGCGACAGTGTAGGAAGTGGCTTCCTATGGGATGATTCCAAGAGCACTGGCAGGGGACCCCAGAAGAGGAGGTTTATGACCTCTCTGTGCAATACATTGCACAGAGTAGGTAAGTATAACATGTTTATTATTTTTAAAAATGCATCCTTTGCAACCACTTTAATAATCTTAGCAAGCAGTAAATGAGCTATAAAACAAGCTCTGACTGGCCTCATTAGTTGTGTGCACTTAAGTCCTCCATGTCTTTTTCTCTGCTTCCTCCTTCCAGAAGTGACTCAGCAGCTCAGCTCCCTCTCCCATTAGTGTCTCTGCAGCCTTCTAATCTCTTATATAAACACATCATAGGTGCTCTAGGTCTTGAAGGGGTAGTGGGTAAGATGAGCTACAGGAAGGGTTGACTTGAAGATCCTCAGTATTTCTAATGTGTAATGGTTTATTATGAGTATTAACTTCTCCACAGTGCAGGTAAGCAAGGGCTTGCATTGAAGCTTTTTTTTACTGCTTGGTAAGAATATGTAAATGCTCGAATGTCCATAGCCTGGCTACAGGTTTACTTTAACCCCATATATGCAGCGTCCAGGAGGTGGGCTTTAAACCTGGGCGTCACATACTGTATATGTGTTCTGATGTTTGTGTTGGGAGCGCGCTCCACAGCCTGCTCCCAGCACAGTGACTGAGCTCTTACCAATAGTTCCAGGTCTCATACTAATGATCGGGACCCAGGACTGCTGGTTCCTATTCACCTGATCACTGTCATAGTGTCTGATTGGCTGTTACTGTGGTATGTCACTGTGCAGCTCACCCATGTGTTTTCTTTCTCTTGAAAGGAGAGAAAGATACATTGTATCTTTCTGTCCTTGCAGGAGAGAAAGATGTAAACAAATAAAAAAAAAAAGAAAAAGAAAGAAAATAGCTAGACATAGACTTGATCTAGCTCAGTGTCAGGGTTAGTGAGGGTTAGTGTTGGGGTCACGGTAAGGGCCAATGGTCAACTAACACGTGTCAAAGTTGCAAACTTGGGTCTGGATGTTAAGGTTTGCTTTACCCTCGATCATAAAGGGGTTAAGGGTGATTTTGTGACATAAATTTTATAAGTCTTGATGTATAGAAGGATGAGTTAAAGCAGAATGTCACCTTAAAAGGGAAGTATTGCTGATCCTCCTCCACCACCACCCACCACCCCACAAACCCCCCCCACCCCATCCCTATAGGGAGCAGGTACCCGCTTCCACTTCTGCTGGATTCGCATAGGTGATCCCAGTGAAAGTTCTCCCCCTCCTCATCCGCAATCTCCTGGGGCACATCACAGGTCCCAAGAGGTTGCAGAGCCATTCACAGAGAGCAGCACAGCTCACGAATGCACAGTGGGGAGCCGGCTGTAAAGTCGGAAGAATTCACAGCCACTTCCCACAGTAAAAATGGCAACGCTGGGGACATGAAGAGTGACCAAGAATTGGCTTGGTTGAGGACAGCGCTGGATCCCTGGAAACATGACCTTCTATTAAAAGTCAGCAGCTACAGTATTTGTAGCTGCTGACTAACTTTGTTTTTTTCCAGGTTGAAGATCCTCTTTAAAAGGATAAGTTCACCTTTTGGACAAAAATAATAAATGCACATTTTTTTGCAGGTACAAAAAATGTAAATTTTTTTTATTTCTGTCTAAAGGAGCCTGGAGAGCATTGCACCAGCGATTAGTAGATCACTAATGCCATGCAGGTCTCCTGCAGACTTGTCAGAATATCTGCTTGCTGTACGGGATGTACGGTTAAGCAGATATACTGACCGGAAGCTTCAATGAACTACCACGGCGCTTCATGGCACCGTGGTAGTTTATTGAAATCTACAAGCCGACAGCCGCTAATGTTGCTGGAACTTGTAGGCACTTGTGACGGAGGAAAGGCAGGACAGAACACACAGAGTGGATGGCAGACGCACAAAGCTTTATTGAAACAAACATACGGCAGTTCTTCAATACGGGGGGTGGCAGAGAGGGTGGATTTGCCACTAAATGGTAATGAGGGGGCCCCACCCACTTATAGTCCACTAGGAGAGCCAAGGGGGTGTCCCTGTAACAGGGGTAGTCCGACACAGGAGGGGGTGCGTGGGGTCACCACTGCAACAGTTCAGGTAACACAGTGGGGAAGCAGGTACTCACGGATCCAACAGGGTGCCTGGTCTCCCAGGGGTAGAAGCAGAACGCAGGTACCTGTGGAGTCCGGACCAGGTGGGTGGCCTCTGGCTCTGGCAGACGGGCTGTGGTAGTCTCTCCCCCTTCTGTGGGGTCTCTGACAAAAAGTAGGCAGGCTGGAATAGTCTCTCCCCCTTCTGTGGGGCCTCTCGCAATCGCAGGCAGGCTTTCTCTGGTTGTCTCTTCCCTCCTGTGGGGTCTCTGTGAGGCTGGGGAGTAGACTTGCAGAGTCTAGTCACAAAGGTCTCGCCGGAGCTTGAGATCCTTTGATGACTGCCCAACGGAATGAAAACAGAGCTCCCACTATCAGCCTCTTAAACTGCTGCAGGACTCTCCCCGGTCGCCTTGGCAACCGGGAGGGGGGAAGGGAATTCTAGACCTCAGGGAGAATCAGGCTGGTGACAGGGTCATCCTGGGGGGCAGAGATGATGTCTGCATAGATGAAAAGCAAGTTGGGAGGTGTGCAGAGAGCTCCCAGCCAGCTGGCCGGGAGGGAGGGGGGGCCCAGAGTAATTTGATTAGGCCATTGAATTAGGCCATTTGGCCTAGTGACACAGGGGACAATTGGAACAATACAGAGCAGGACGCTGAGGGCATGTGATACAAGGCATTAATAAGGGGATTAATAATTGGCAGTCTCCCATACCATGACAGCACTCATTCATAGAACTCTGCGAATGAGCCCTGCATGGCTGCGCTGTTTTCAAATCTGACTAATAGGACGGGGGAACTTCTCCCCATACTACCTGTCAAAGGGAGGTGGGGCGGTGGGCACGGCTGCAGCTATAGGAACATGTTACATGTTCCACCCTAAAAATGGGTAGAACATGTAACATGTTCCAAAGGTGAACTTATTCTTTAATAATATCACACAGGGATTTACATCCGATCATGATCTATAGCAGGTTTTGTTAAAGATTCCTAAAGTGAGAAGGAAGTTGCATTATTATTATTATTATTATTATTATTATTATTATACAGGATTTATATAGAGCCAACGGTTTGCACAGCACTTTACAATGTGAAGGCGTTTGATTCTTCCCCTTTTATTTGTCTGATATTTACCTCTTCCAGTCTCAGTTATAGCCTGCTGCCCCAGCCCTGTATTGGCATCTGCACAATGCCAGCTCTATAATAATAATAGACTGTTCCACTAGACTAACAATGCTATAAAATGTATATAAGAAGTAGTGTGAAATGTGACCCTTTACATCCTCTCCCTTCCTTCCACTCTCAGGATTTCTAGGAATTTTTAGAGAAAGCATTTGCTGAACAATTCAGCTGTCCCTGGGTGGCTGAAACTCTCCAAATACCTCTATACATCTTCCAGAGAGCAAACGGGCCTGTCTTAAGGCACTACTATAAATATTTCATTTTAACCTTCATTATTCAGTAAATATATTGTCCATATAAAAAAATATTTCAAATGCTGTTCAGTCTTTATTTACATGCCATGAGGATTGTGTCACATTCTTGTTATTAATGTGGAACTTTTGGATAGGGTTAAAATGTTTGGGTTTTTCTCCAATGCCCGTGTCCCTTATAGGGAGATTCCTCCCTTCCTATCCTCTTTGACAACTGTCACCAGAGCTGTGGT